ATATTGAATTAAGACTATAGTGTTGCCTATCATGAAATTCAAATCCTAGTCGCAACTCTTCATTATATTCATCAAGTTGCATTCTATGCAAAAAATTCGGCCTACATAGTGGAAATTTCTTGCCTATTAGATCCTTAAAAATATATCAGCATTAGCGTTTACTGCTTGTATGATGGTATAAAGGACACCATTCAAACTTCTTCATGATATATTTTAATGGATACTTCCACTGGTGTATACCATTCTCACAAGATCAGAAATAGATACCATGTTCATGTATCTGGCCAGTTTTTTCAAGACAATCTCCATCACGTTTTCTGATATAATCTTTAGCTTAGTTTAACTCATTATTAGGAAAAGCATAAACAAAATGTATGGATAATATACTTTGAGATGGGTACTCAACCTTTTCTGGATCAGCTATTAATATGAGTTCCTCTCTCACGAATCTCCGCTTTAGTGAAACTCATCACCTTCAAGATAATATAAGACAGGCTCATTTTTTGACACTACTATTTTTCAGATTTTATGAATAAAAGGCGACCATATAGGATCAGTGCTCCTATGCACTACTTCTATTTCACCTTTCCATTCAGCATTGGCAAGAAGATAGCGGACAAAATCATCTTTCTTTAACGTTATTTCATCCTTGCTAATAAGTCGCTTTAATGATATCGATGGCTTAGATTCAACCTCTTTTAATAAAATGGCTTCTGAAGGTGCTAATCCTCATTTCAAAGAACCCAGTTCTCTGATAAGGCATGTGAAATAATTGTTTAGGTAATTGACAACTTTTGGCAAATGTCTAACCCATACTCTTATTAATCTTGGATCAGAAGATATAGACTTAACAGCATACTGAATTTTATAGAGCATGTCCCTTCTGTTTTATTGAAACGTTCTACCATTATAGTACCTCTATGGTTATAGAGTTCTATTACTCGAATCGTGATATTATACTCTTGCATTAGTTGGGAAGTCTCGCCTATAAATTCATGACCACTATCACATTGTAAAAGCTTTGACTATATCAATGGATTATTTTGATTACCATATTTTTTCCTAAATGCTTTAGCAACTTCACAGACATTTTTTGATGTGAGCGGAACTGAAGCCTTATATCAGGAAGCGCAGTCTATTATATTAAGTACCGCTTTATAGGTCTTACCTCTATAATGATCATAGGTAAGAAACATTATATCACATTGATGGATGCAATTTGGTCGGGTTATTTTTCCATAACTGACTCTAGGAATATGCTTAGGTGGAGGCATATAGATTTGGTACAACTGCTGGTGTCCTATCCAATCTTTTACATCTTTTAAGCGGAATTGATGCCCTCTTTTTTACATGCATCACTTGCTTTAAGCACTTTCAGCAAGGATTTAGCATTGGAATAATACCCAGTTAGGTAATAATATATATTACGCAATATGAGATTTTTTTCGATTCTTTTAGCCTCATCAGAATCTATCACAATTTGTGGTTGGCTCATTCTCAAGGTAGGATTATTATGATAGTACTATAAATTAGAATGAAATATCATGTTTGATCCAGCATATTCACAGCTTTTAGATACAAACCAGGAGTTTCGTAATGAGCTTCATGATGAGATTTTTATTAATAAGAGTAATGAGAAAAAATTCGCTCTCTTGTGAAGGAGCTTGAGCAATGTTATCGAACTATCTAATTACAGGATAATACTATTATAGCCCATGAAAAAGAGGTAGAGAAACTTAAATCAGAAATATCTGATTTGCGAAAACAGCTTAGGGTTTTACAACAGAATAAAAAATTCAAAGATGAGGTTGGGTCTATTCAAGATGGCCGAATTATAGAGCTCGAAAATAAGGTTGGGAGTCTTAAAGCAAGAATCCAGATTCTCATAGATAAAAAAATCTCAATAAATGCTTTAGATATGGCAACGACTAATCTTATTGCAAACATTAATAGAGGATTAGATCGAATTGAAAATCATATTAGGGGAGTTGGTACGCCTATGCAGAATCCTGCCAATGTTATAGATGGCATCAGAGGCTCGTTAAATACTATTCGGGTTACTTTGCAAAATATCACAGCTGAGCGTGATCAATATCAGAACTTATTACATAATTCAATTCAGCGAGTAGATAATCTTAGAAATCAGTTTACTGATAGTGGAAATCAGAATTTACGGTTACAACATTTATTAGATAAATCCTGAGTTCAGGTTGAAAAAACTGTGAAAGAAAGAGATGTGGCTATAAGGGAGAGAGATAATGCTCAAGGAGAGTGGGACTTGGCTATGTTGGCCTATAATAATGAGAGATAAGAATCCCATCGCTGGATGTTTTCATATCAGGATAAAAATAGGTGTATCCAAAGATTATTGCGAGAAAAATTTGCTAAATAGCTATTGTATCAGCGAGATACTAACCGTCTTCAGCAAAATACCCGTCGGTTACAGACTAATGTCTAAAATCAGGTAAATAGGATGTTAGTCATTATAGCAAGAAAACAAATCCGTATTGGTGAATTGCTATGTGAAAAATTTGTTTTCCAGCTAGTGATTAAGCAAAGAGACCAGAATATTTTAAATTTGCAGGGACAAATTTTGGCGCTTCAAAATAATCCATTAGAAAACATGGCCGACGCTAGACGTTTACCAGTATTAAATTTGATTGCACCTATTCTTGCTAAAAATAAGCTGTATACAGGCCAAGAACCTCCTGACGATTATTTGGATAGGCTTATTCAATCAATATCATTTGCACAAGGACATATGACTGTTCTTGAAAATGCAAATGCCGGAAATTTTAATGATGCTGTCAAGTGTGATATTTATAAAGCTCAGATGGGAGGAAAATATTTACTAGTTCCTGCCCAAGACCCATATAACGGAAATGCTAATATTAATACTCCAGCTACTTTACGTGCTTAGATGAGATCAAAATATCAACGTGAAACAGTAGGTAGTCGGCAGTCAGCACTCCAGAGATTAACTCAAGAAAGATTTCTACCCACAGATTCACCAGATACTTATGAAAAAAGAATCTGACCTTTATTATTAGGTGTAGTGGATGGTGATGCCCAAACCGTAGGATTTCTTAAGAATCACTTGTCAGGTGATCTTTATACATAGATGCAAGCTGTTGCTCTTGCTGGTATTGATGCATTCTTTATACAACTTAAAGATATGTAGTTAGAGCGTGCTCCAAATTTAAATGGGAGTCAAAATTATCAGAGTAATTCTTCAGCTGAGATTGAAAAGTTAAAATCTGAAATAGCATCCCTATGAATCCAGCAAGCTCAACCAATCCAGACGCATTCCCAAAATAATGATGCCCTAGAAAAGATGTATATTCGTGCAGTGTGTTTAGGGATGCCACCTGATGCACGAAAAGATCTTATGTCTTTAGATAATTATATTAATGATAAATTAATAAAGAGATTGGGCATTGCTAATACCAATTATACTAAGCTTTCCAAAAAATACTCTCAAATAGTTAATGTGGTCAAAAAGTTAGCCAAGCATAAATGTTCTAATTGTGGTAACAATTCTCGTAAGTGTTCCAGAAAAAAGAAGAGTAAGTCCAAAAAGGATAAAGTAAATCTTACTACTTTGGATTCAGGTTTGGGTTCAGATACTAATTCTGGTATGTTGTTTGATGACTCTTCTGATTCTGGTTCAAGTTCTTCATCTGAATCTGAATCTGAAGCTGATATTAATGTTAATATTACTAAGACAAAAAAAAAGTGAAGAAAGAATCGATTAATCCTCCTCCTTTACCACAAAAGAAGAAATCAAAGGGTCGCATTATGGCCAAGTCTCAAGAGATAAAAGATATAGAGACAGCTCCTTTGGTCTCAGCTCCTATTTCTAAAAAGAAAAAGCAAAGTTCAAAGTCGTCGTCACAGGATGACCAATCCCGCTTGGAAAATATTATTGAGAAAATTATTAAAAAGGTGCTTAATGAAAAGTTTGGCGCCATCATAGGCTTTTTTCAATTGCAGAATTCTGTTTCCAGAATACTGGTTGATGGTAGAGATAACACCACATCGAATACTCCTGAAACTCCAGACTCAGATGGGGAAGACGAAATTCTAAATGAGCCTATGAAAATCGATTTCATTCAGAAAAAGGATCCCGCCACTGATGTTGTTACTACTAAGTGTAAAATCAAGCGTCTGGTTATTCCAGGTGCCGTAGTTGATCCCGATACTAATTTTGCAATTATAACCAATGATATAGCCAAATGATTAAAACTAAAAATTGATACAAATGAAAGGCATGACCTTAAAGGCGTTGCTATAGTCCCTATAGAGTCGCTTGGTACAGCTAGGAATGTACCAGTATATTTTGCTCCCAGATGCACCATATATTCTGATTTTGCAGTAATCAAAAACCATCTTGAGAAGCCGATGCTAATTTTACCCAATACTTTACTTGATAAATATAACTATAATTTACTTGCATCAAAGTAGGAATTGAGACTAGAGTGTAATAGTAAGGAATTTTTTATCCTAATTAATATGCATAAGGTCAAGAACAAGCTCGAGATGAATTATGCGAACATTACTTCTGAATGTGACAATTCCATAATTCCGGACTGCATTTCGCAGGACTTAAATGAGGATGGCGCATTAAAAAAAAAGTGAGTTATGAGGAGCTTGAAAAAATGTTATTTAATGCTTTTAAGTCTAAAGAAGATCTTAACGAATTGTGTGAGAAATTATTAGTACGCTATGATAAATTAAATGGAAAATATCTTCTACACGACTAGACGTCTATTCACCTCTGCTTTATTTTTTTCATCTCTCTTAGCTTCTTTTTCATAAAATACATTCAGATTCTCTCTGCTAATATTTAAACCTTTAGAACCCTCTGGGCTTGTAGACGTTGGCTGATTCTGGGTAATAGATGGTTCAGAGATTCTAACAGATTTGGACTTGGGTTTCTTTCCTCTGGTCTTTTTTACCTTACTCCCAGAAATAACATTGCATTCCACAGGATCTGCTTGCTAATACGAATCAGGTTCTTCTGAAAGTTGTTTTATATCTTTAGGGTCTATTGGTGGGTGAGCTCCTCTCTAAATTTGATATATCCGCTGTGTTGATATTTTGTATTTGTTAGCCATGACTTCTAATACCCGCTTCGTTAAATTTTTAGCTTTAATAATATCCTGGATATCTTCAGCAGATAGGGGGGTCGCATCTGAATGCAAATACTGAAGCATTTTTTACAAATAGACAAAAAAAATCTTTTAAAAAAATACCGGTATATTTTCGATATATTTTCGGTATATATTCGGTAATATCGATATATTTTCAGTAGATTCAGTTCATTCAGTTCATTCGATATATTCGGTTCATTCGGTGTATTCGATATATTCGGTCTAAAAATTTGCCAAGTAAAAAATTTTTAATTGCATGTTTTTTATTATGCTAGCAACTAAGCCAAAAAAAAGGCTATGACCAATGTGTATACCTTAAAAGATATTAATAATAAAGGTTATCAGCTTGGTAGTGCGTATGAGCAAGAGCTCGAAAAAAAATTGTATACTACTCTTAGTTCTAAAGCCAAAATTAATGATCTTTGTAAAAAGTTGTTGGCTAAAAATTCAGAGTATTCAGAGTGAGAGGAGGAGTTTCAGCGAATTTATGCTGATATGGGAAATAAGATTAGCCAGTTAAATGCGTCTAGTACTAAAGTTAGATCCCAACTCATTTCTGAATGGAAGTCTCATTCTGAGAGTCAACGTGAGCTTGAAGCCAAATATACTGCTAAAATCAAATCGCTTAAATCAAATATTAAAACTTTGAAAAAAGAGGCAACTTTGGCCTAAAAAGCTTCGTCCACTGACAAGGTCAAAATTCTTTCTTTTGAAACTAAGGTAGTTGAATTGGAAGGTAAGTTAGAGGACTTGAAACTGGATCCAGTGTTCTGTGATTCGAATGTAGTGGAAGGGGTGATAGAGGAGCCGGCCCAAATAAACTCATCTGAATCCAAGTGATTAATTCTCTCAGGCTTGAATTAGAGCGAGCAAATGAGGACCTAAATTCAAAAAAATATAAAATAGAATGCATGGAAAAAGGGATAGAAGCGACACATGAGATAACTAGTTAGGAAAGAGATACTTTGTCTTCAGCGTGATTAAATTTAATGGAGGAAAATTCTCATCTCCAAGAGATAATCTCAAAGAAAGATAATGAAATAGTAGATCTCTCTAACCCCTACCTTCGCCTATGAACGATTCATTGCAAAAGCTATCAGGTTGGCTCAGTAATGATTTAGGATCCCTTGTCTATAAGCACGGTCTTGAAGATAAGGTTATAGAATTTGATAAAAGTTTTGCCAATGAACATATATTAGAGGCTTTACAAGAACTATTACCCTGAGATGAGATGGTTTTGAGAAACCAGGCAGTTATCCTACCTAATCAATCCGTTCATAGTTGACCAGTACATTCTGAAAAATCTATTTCAAGGAAAGGGGTTATGAAGCAATCAGGTGGCGCAGAAACAGTGTTATCATCCTAAGCAATACCTTTAGTACAGGTCATTCCTATTGTTGTGGACTCCTTAATGTCGTCTATGTTAATATATTCTATACTTACCTTATTACTTATTGCAATTATATGGTTCGTAGTCAGGAAAAAAATATGAAATTCATGGAGCGCCAAGCTGAAAGAAAAAAGTGACTGATACATTCAGATTAGCGATTTACACCTCCGGGCATATCTGAGGCCAGGTTATATGATCAGAGGTCAGGAGTTCGAAGATAAAAATTGAAGTTAGCCGGTATTATTGCACAAGAAAAAAATATATAAATAATATTATAAGTATTCTAGCGGAGGTGTAGCAATTTCAGCTAAGAGTACTTATCCATATAATTTGATGATCTCGTCTATATCTGCTTCAGATGGATCATCGAAATACCTAGAAAGTTTATTGTAAAGTTTTTATATATTATTTAAGCCATTTTTTTATCTCGTTCTGGAAATACTAAGTATAAAATTACATGTAAATTTCCCAAATCTTCAAAATAAAAATTTTGGACGAATATGCTTGTTAGCAAAATACTGGGTCAGTGGTAGTACCCAAAAGTAATCAATATAATAATGCCTAAAAATAATCGATGTAGTAGTACTCAAAGTATCCCATAGTAGTAACTATACAAGAAAGAATTCTAAGAAGGCTCAGGCGAAAACTAGGGTATAAATTTGGTAGTATCTACAAGTAGAATAATATATAGGAAAGAAAATAGAAAGTTATGCTTATAAATACTACCGGCAATAGGCAGGAAAGAGATTGAGAAGGCAGAAAGTTTTAGAAAAATACACGAAAAAAGGTATAAAAGTAATATAGCCTGAACTAATTCGGCACTTCATGCCTCATCCTTGACAATCAAAAGGGTCACAAAAGGCAGGATTGCAAGAATAGCATAACACTAACACTTCGTATGTGTCTCACCGGTAATCAAAAAGTGAGTGAATAAATTGCAACACATCTTTAGTAAATAGATAATAGATTGCAAATTTGGCATTTTGTGCTTCATCTAGCAATCAAGAGATTGGTAATCAAAAAGGAAAATATATAGGCTGATTAATATAATGCAAATTACACCTTTGATTCTCTAACCAACTGACCACTAAACCAGGCCCTCGAAAGTTACTCAAAAGTTACTTGAAAGTAACGGGAAAGTGCCTGGAACTGGCGAGAAACTGAATACGTGATCATGACGCAATAAGGCGCAGTAAATTTTGTTAATTTTGGCCAACACTATTTCATGGTTTCGGCCAAATTATTGGACATAATAATTCAACATCTAAGCTAGTATACAAGTGGTCTGAAACTGGCGAACTAATAGAATCTCTCTAGCTCCTCACCAGTTCTCTAATAGTTCCATGATAGTTTCCACGGCACTATCATGGCGCCATCATGTCACTAAGTTGGATTTCAAATTAAGTGTTCTAAGATCGGCCAGAATTATGGCATAATGTCAGCCAAAATTAATTGCAGATCTACTACGTCACCTGACGCGATATTTTTTTACCACATTTTAGCATCTAGAAAAGCAACCAAATAGGTGCGAATTCTTAATATAGAACTAGTATTCAAACTAGCATAGAGGGCCAACACCCCCATTATAGAACCAGGTATTCAAAGAAGACTGAAAAGCCAGAACTAACAATATAGATTTTATTATGTAAACTGATTAGGAACAAGAAGAAAGCAGTCACTATTAGATCATAAAATCACCATTAAATTAAAACACTACTAGTCACCAATAGACTATGAAGTTATCACCATATTATACAGGAAACAGTTGAAATAATGTTATAAACGCAAAGGAGCTACCCATAAGTAGATTATGAAGTCACTATCGGATTATGAATAGTAGGCTATGAAGTTACCACCAGATCATGTAATTAGATTATGATATCACCATTATATTATGAAGTTACTATTATACTATGAAGTTACCAACAGACTATGAAGTTACTAACAGACTATGAAGTCACCATTATATTATGAAGTCACTGGTAAACTATGAAGTTACCATTATATTATGAAGTTGCCTTCATAACCTAGGCCAAGTCGCATGTGACTTCATAATATAATTATATTATGAAGTTACATGCGATTAATCTTCAATGCTTATTTTATAAAAAAAATCAATAAAAAATTTCTAAAAAAAAAAAAATGAAGAAAAATATTTATTAATATTTTCATATTAATATTAAATCATTTTTTTGATAAAGAAAATAAAAAGAAAATATTTTTAAAATATAAGTAGGTTTTTTTATTTTATTTATAGATTAAATTATAATTATTATTAAATAATTATTTAATTTTAAATAAAATCTAATAAATAAAAAAAAATTTTAATTTAATAAATTGTAAAAATTGATATATAATAATTTATAAAAATTAAATTAACTAATTTTATATAATATATAATTTGATATATTAAGAAAAATCAGAATTAATATTAGTTTTATAATAGTTGATTTACTTAAAAAATTATTTTATACCTAAAATTTTACTAAGTAATAAATGCTATAAAATTGGTATTATTAATTGAATATCAAATTTTTATAGGATATTTTTTAAGACTTAAAGTTTAAAATAAGAATATCTATTCAGCATAATATGATGATAATAATTATTTATCACTATATAATAAAAAAATAATTAGCACAATTGGTACAAGTTAATTTGTATTATATAATTGATATATAATCAAAAAGTCTATTTAAACTTTTTTTTTTTATTTTTTCACGTTCTTTTCTTTTCTTTTTTTTTACAGTTTTTCCTTTTTCTCTTATTCTTTCTTTCCTTCTATTTTCATACACTTTTCTCTTATTTCCTTTTCAACTTTGTATATAGTTAAGTAAGCTTAGATTTATTATTAGAATTAGAGATTAGAATAAAGGTGTTTAATTAGAATTAATGTAGTGTTAAGATTAAGAAAGAATTAAGGTAAAAGCATAAAATTAGAATAACATGATGTTAGCTAACAGTTTCAAATAATGTAAAATTCAATATAGCTTTAATTATAATAGATATTATAAAGATAATATCAGCAATAATGTTAAAATTAATTATAATTTAAGCACATGCAATTTTAGTTATATTCAATAAATTTGAAATATAATTAAAATATAACCTGGCTCAAAAAACATTTATCTAAAAGAAAAAATACAGAAAGATTTAAGAATTATTATATCATATAATGTAATTAATATTTAATAATGATGATTAAGAACTGGGTCAATAGATAAAACAAATATATTAAAATAATAGAAGAATAACTTAAACAAACTCAACCTAATATTATTTTAGCTGAAAAAGAAAATATGAATTCTAAATCCTAACTTTCAATTCAAATCAATAATCCATTTATTAATAATCATACTAAAGGTAGACCTTCTAAATATGCAAGAATTAAATCAGCTGTTAAGGTATTAAAGGAAAATAACTATAATAAAAGATTATAAAGGTAATGTTAAAATTATAAAGAAAGTTCTAATCATAATTCACATAGTTGTCTTTATCCTTGTGGTATTTTTCATAGAATTTATCAATATATATATTTAATGAACTAATAAAATAAATATAACAAGTTATCTGATAATAAATAGTTATTTACCATTAGAATTATATGGTAATAAATAACAATTTATCACCATGTGGTGATGAATAGCAGAGCTATTAAAATAAATATAAAATC